TTTCATCCCCGCGGGCGACAAAGCGCGTTGTCCTTAAAGAGAACCGCCGCTGCGAAACGCCAGACAGGACGCCCTGTCATATTTGTGCACGCCGACGGATTGGGTTAGTTATTACGGGGAGCAGAGCCAGTGATTGGAGGCATTATCTACCGCTAAATGTTCAGGCTTTATTGAGAAAATGTGACATGGCCGTTGTCATTAGTGTCTCTCCTTCACAGATAAAAACTAGAGTTCAGTGTGACAAAGTGAAAGGACGCCATCCTGCTGCGCCTCAAGGTCTCCAACACAGCCACCATTTAAACGCACAAAAAGTGAGTGAATGTGCAACCAGCCCCCCCCCCCAAAAAAAGGTTTAAAGTGCCTTTAAACACTGAAAGACAAACGCAAAGCAGAGCGCAAAACTCCACTCCACACATTTTCATTAAAAGTCACCGTCCTCAACTCCTCCACCTTTCACGGTTTAGGGAGAACACAGATGCCAAAGCGTGTGTGAGGGAAAGCAGATATGTTCCCCTGGCCTCCCCCTTCCTCCCCCCCCCCCCGTTCCTCCATGTCGGCCGTGTTTACGACGGGTTTTCGTTTGTGTACATTCCTGGCGAGCTTCGCCCGCGGGCGCCTCGCCTCTACGGGGCGTCATTTTCTGCTGAGTCGCCCCTGAAAAAGCAGAGCGAAGCAACCGCACCGTTAAGATAAACGTCAACCCTCCCCCCCTCCCCCTCCATCTCCCCCTCCAAGCAGACGGCGTGTGTTTACCGGGTAACTTGGGGGAAAGGTGGGGTGGCGTGGGGGGGGGCAGGTGGCATGTGGGCGTCCTCCCAGCACACTGCACACCTGAGACGAGCTCGGTCATCTGTGCATTTCAGCACATTTCTCCTCTTTCTTACACCACACTCCTCCTCCTCCTCCTCCTCCTCCTCCTCCTCCTCCTCCTCCTCCTCCTCCTCCTGGACCCCTACACTGCTGAGCTTCATCTGGAGCTTTTATTTTGGCGAGGTGCTGCGGTTTTGGAGGCCTCCGCTCGCTCCCCGTTGCAATTACGCCTCCTCATTAGAGAGAGAAACATCCGCCGTTCACGGACTTCCTGCTAACGGGAGGCCGTGTTCACACTCGGCCTCCCGTTTCTTTGCCGCGTGTGAGGAACGACGCGCTGACGTCTGACGCGCGGCGATGAAAAACCTGCGCCGCTACTTTACACACAAGATCACAGGCTACAAACACCAACTGGACTCCTTTGTTTTCTGATACTTTCCCACCGTGAGCCTCAGCAGACAAAGATGCTTTAAGAGAACCTACAGAGAACACGGAGGCGCTGAGACAAGTGAGGGGAGAAGAATTTGCAGAAGATGAGAGGAGGCGCGATGGGGGGGGGGGGGCTGCTGCACTGCGTCCGCGATTGCTGTCGGGCTTCTCGGGTCCCCGCGGCGCCGAGCTTTATCCTGAAAACCCCCGGCGCTTCATTTTGTGCGTGGAGCAGGAGGACGAGGGATGATCAATCTTAATGAGCCCTCCGCCGTCCCTGTATCCACTGTGGAGGGGGAGGGGGGGGGGCTGCCTTTAAATACGATAACGAGGGAGAGGGAGAGGGAGGACGGTCCTCCTGTTGAAAAAAACACACAAAAACCTCTTATCCTCGGCTTCCTCCCCGGGAGCCGCGCTAGAAAACACTCCGACAGCTCGGCGAGTTAAAGAGACGCCGTCTGCAGCTCTGGGGTGAGACGTGCGAGTCAACACGTGGGCCCCGTGTGGACGGGGGGCCTCTTAAGGACATCTCGTTTGAAATAATTACCTGCACACACACACACACACACACACACACACACACACAGTCGACGGTGATTGGAATAAATTTCCACCTCATCAATAATTTGCATCAATCCGGCGCTCGTGTGAATTCCTTTTTTCGGGCTCCCGTTTGAGCAGACGAGAGAAAGAAAAAACATGTATTTCATATTCCAAGTTAAGCCTGTTTTGAAATCGTAATAACCCCGAGTTCTGCTTTAGCTAATCCTGACGCGGGCAGCTTTAAGATAATCGCCCGGCGCAACACCGCAGTGGCTTTAATTAATTTCCCCGCCGCTCGCTCGGCAGACGCAGATCCGAGTCAGCGTATTGGAAATTAAAACAAAAGAGCAACGACAACCCTGCAACTCTTGCAGCACACTGCGTGTTGCATTGGTCTCTGCAGAAGTTTGCGGCGAGGATGTGGTGCAGGGAGAGAGAGGAGAGGCCTTTAATTAATGGTCTCCGTGTGGCTTCCACAAACACATTGTGTTCCTGTGGCAGCATCAAAACGAATGCTCACGCATCACGGACGCTCTGTGTAATAACCGCATGCTACTTCAGCCCAGGTGTCTCCGGGCGCGTGGGGGCGCGTGGAGGGGGGGGAAGCGATCTGCACGACGCGTCCAGACGACTAAATGTGTTTGTGTAATCGATGAGCAGCAAACAGCGGCGGCGCGGCGGCTCCAGGAGAAGCTTTAAGTATCAGCGATAATGTGCCGAGAACCCAAATGCCGGCGGATCTCTGTGGATGCGCTCGGTCTAAAACTAAACCAAATGAAAGCCGCGAACTACTTAAGAGTCCTAATCCAACACCTCTGTATGTTTATTAATCATATATACGATCAGAGACCAGCGAGAAGATATCGGCCATTTGTTTTTATTTTCACTCAGCTGCTGGTGGAAATGTTTTGGAACATCTTAAGGTCACAGTTAAATTAGCACGTATCTTTGCAAGAAGAAAACTAATAGATGTGTTCGCTGACATTTATTTCCCTCGCTGCCGTAGTTATTGACTGTGACTTGATTGATTTCCTCTGTCATGAGATTGCGATATAACTTTAGCTAAAAGTAAAGTAAGTACCGCTTAACCAATTTGAATTCAATTCAAGAAACGAGCAGAAAATGTTTCCAGCCTCAAATAATTTGTGCTTCCGGAAGGTGAAGCGTATCTCCCTAAATTGAATTAAATAAGCAGATGATCGCCATACGGCTTTTACTGTCAGGCGCGGCAGGTTGCCAGGCAACGGCAGCGGCGGAGGAAAAGCTGGTGGCGCAAACAGGAAGTCCCGCCCCGTATAGGCCAGATGGCAGGAAAGGAGAGGCCGCGGCGCACCGATGTAAAAACAATCATCTTAACTCGGCCGGGCATCTTAATTGCATCCACTCGCCCCCCAGAGGGCGGCTGATGTGAGCTGACTGGAAGATGAACTTCCGACGCGCTTCCCCCTCCCTCGTCCTGCCGTCTCCAGGGCCAGCGAGGCGGACGGGACGTTCGGGCGCGAGAGAAGAGGCGAGGAGCAGAGTTGTGACGCTCGGCGGGACGGGCGGGCGGAACCAAACTCCAAATGTCAACCATGCGGACGCTTCATCCGCGCCTTTTTAGGCATCTACCAGAAGGAGAACGCCACATTCCAACGGCGTCGGAGTGCGCTGCAGGAATACATGGCGGCCGCAGCCGACATCTCAGGCCCGCCGAGGGCGCCTCCGAACGCGCGGAGACGATCGCTTACAGGCCGTCCCCGCCGAGCCCGGCGCTCGCTCCTCTCGGCTGATATTCATCAGGGCAGCCATCGATTTTAATGACTTGGTCAATAGACACACAGCTACTCCACTCTCAGCATCCCTCCCCCTTCCTCCTCCTCCTCCTCCTCCTCCTCCTCCTCCCCCGCTCTCTCTCCACTCTCTCATCTTCTTCTGTCTTTTCTTCCCTTTGCAGTGTCCGTCTCCCCCCCCCCCCCCCACTCGCGTCTCAGCGGCGCCGCCGCTCGTGATCGCCGCGCCTCCGGTTGCAGAAGTGAGCAGCAGCACAGGAAACGGACCCGTCGATAAGAGTTTGAAGCGCACGCCGGGCGCGTGCTGATGAAAAGCCCCCGCCGCGGACGGGAGGGGGAGGAGGTTGGGGGGGGGGGGGGGGGGGGGGGGGGGACCAGGTGAGCAGATCACATCTCTCGGTAGGCGACGAGGTTAAAGCCGCCGCCCAGCTGCTCTGTGACATGTGTGCTGTGAACAACATCCCAGACACACACACACACACACACACACACACACAGGCAGCGGGAGAGAGGGGAGCACACAGTTGTTGATGCGCCCGCTGATGCGGCGAGCGGAGACAAATTGCTCCCTTTTGAAGGCGAAGCCACAGCGAGCACGGAAGTGTGACTCCCGTCACCGCGGCCGTTTGGCTCCGGGGGCCGCGAGGCCGACATCTGACAAAACACCCACGCGGTCACACCCGGGGAGCAGCAGTACAGCGGAGCGGGGGGACGCGGGGGGGGGACGCGCGGCGGGCGCAGACGGATCAAGGAGGCAGGAGGTCCGTCAGCTCCGCCGAGATCCAAGGACGCCGCGGAAAGCGCCGCCGGCGCCAACGGGCACCGTGTCCGCAGGTTTTATTCCTCGATACGGCAACACGTGTGATTAAGTGGCTGCTTAAGTATTCAAACAAGTAACAGTCCAATAGTTACTTCTGAAAAGCCTCCGACTCCAAAAAGGATCAGAGCGACGTCAGCCGTGACCATTTAAATGACGACTTCCTCCTCCCACTTCCATCAAATCAGGGCATCATGTGGTGGAGAATATTGGTTCTCTGATGGAGGGAAAAGCTCAGCACACGTCTTTTCTTTTTGCTGAAACGATCACCCTGAAAGAGGCCCAACGTCTCCCACAAGTGCACCTCATTTATTCCCCTTTTTTTTGGCATGTTTTTATAATGCTGCAGTGTGTGTGTGTGTGTGTGTGTGTGTGTGTGCGCACTTGCTGCACACGAGGGGTTTGTATCACAATTTTACATAATGCATTTCTAGGGAATGAAATGAAGCCCGTGTGTGTTTATTAGAAGCAAAAGCCGGAGATACACAGCATGAATTTCTGTCACTTCATTTCCCGCCTTGTTTTCATTGCCGGACGTTCGCGTGACCCTCAAATCTCGTCCCCCCCCCGGGATCAGATCCTCCAGCCCTCTAATCCTCACCACGGCCGCACAAACACTGACTCCTCACCTTTCTTTGCACAAACTAGCTGGTTTCGGGGGGGGGGTCGGAGCAGAGGGAGAACAGTGCCAACAGCAGGTTAAGACCGACGCAGGTCACACGCTCCTCGCCTTCCACATTTTGCTGCTGTGCCACGGCGGCGGGGGCACGCTGACATGCCGGGTTAATTGGTTTAAAAAACAGGATGCGGAGGGTCTGTGTGACCTCCTGCAGTGAGCGAGTACATAGAGAAGTGCTCCCTGTCATGGGGGGGGTGGGGGGGGGTCTGCCGACGAGGTGTCACCACTAATTCACTGAAACGTTTCCACAGTTCGGGTCTCAGTACTCGTACTAATGTCCAATGTCAAGTAGGGATGATAAAACTGTGCCCGGGAGAAGGGGCCAATGTGAGATTTCAAGTGGCCATATTTGCGGTTTGACCTTCGCGGCGGCCGGCCCAAGACTTCGAGTGGGTATTGTTGTGAGGAAAGTGTCACGGGGATCCTTTCCCCTTCTGCCTCCGGAATACAAACCGCAGCCGTGCGAGCTGAGCGCGTATCTTTGTCGTAGCATTAAACGGCGAGAGCGTTTGGAGACTTTTTTACAACCCCCCACAGCGCTTCCCCTCCCCCGTAAAGCGCATCGTGGTGGATGGATCGCGACAGATTATCCTCAAAAAAAAAAAAATAGAAGAGAAAAAAAAGGTCGAGCCCGTATAATTATGCGTTTCCAATTCTACCTGCGTCCTCACTTCAATGAATCGCAGTCCTCAAAATAATTGCTTTTTTTCCTTGTAATCTACAAGTTTGTCCGGACACATTTTATTCATCAAATTTCAGGAGAAAGAAAACAATCTAAACAAAATTAAAAGCTTCATTAAATGTGAAAATTGGTCGGGGGGGGGGGGAATTGCGAACATCTGTTTCGGGCCCCCTGATGCCATAAAACTCACAAGGTCGACGCAAACGCCGAGCGTTTGGAGAGCGAGGCGACGGCGTGGGGCCGAAGCCCCGCCTCCTCCGTAAGCGACGGAGGAAAAAAAAAAAAAAAAAAAACCTCACACACTTTCCCACCAATTTTCGGTGCACAGCAGCGCTGCCGTGTAGTAGTGTGAGATCAGAACATCGTGTTCCCCAAAGAATCCACGGTTCCACGGGAGTCGGCCGTCGCCCTGCAGCCGCGGGTGCCCCTCCGCTCTCTGCCACCTCAGAACCGCATTGAAGCCAATTGGCTGCGTGTTTGGAAGTTGTATTTCAACCCCCCCCCCCTTCGCTTGAGCCTTTGCCGCCTTGTTTATGACTGCTGGCGTCTCAAACTGCTCGGCTACACAAACAGAGGGCAGAGGCCTGCGCTTCTCATTCCAGCGGGGGCCTCGCATGAGGGGAGATCACGAGCGACGGCGAGCCGAGGGGGTATTGATTTAATACCCAGACACCTCCCTGGCTTGGACTCACTCCTAAACTCGGGGGGGCTCCGCTCGGATTTAGCCTTTCAGAGATGCTCGTGATGGGTTCCACACCTGAAAGAGAGACATTCAAGAGCAACCCGACCTGCGTGGAACACGCCCCCCCCCCCCCCCCGGCCCCACGGGCGGGGGTATCGTGGGTTAACCTTGGGTAGACCCCGGGTTATGTAACTCTTATTTCCCCGTCTAAACCTCGCCAGGAAAAGGAGGCCGCCGTAACCGTCCTGATTGTCTCCGGCTGCGTGCTGGCCGTCATGCGCCGCCGCCGCTGCCGCCGCCACCGCCTGTCCGTTAGTCAGAGGCAAGGCGGGGTGCTGGATGAGGCCGCGGTGAGAGGTTAACTGGCCGTTGCCCATCACGCTGTGGGGGTTGGGGTGAACCACGTGGTTGGCCTGGGCGGAGGCGTACGGGGGCTGGCTCGGCATGCTCAGCACCATGGACGGCGGCTGCTGGCTGGAGTGCGGCGTCAGCTGGAAGTGGGCCGTCATGAGCGGGTGCTGCTGGGGCAGCGGGCCCCGGATGGACGGCGTTACTCCTATGATGGGCGACTGCGCGGCCACACTGTGGCTGCTGAAGGAGGGCGGCTGGGGGAGGCCGTAGGTGTGGGCCAGCAGGCTCGGCTGGCTCACCGCCGCTGCCGGTGCAGCCCAGGTGGGACCTGGGGACAGAGACACCGGGAGACAGGAGAAAGATGACTCATCGGCGTCTGAGGCTTCCATCGAAATAGAGGCCGACTCAACTCCGCACCGCAGCCTGACGACGCGGCGCTCGGCCTCGGGCCAGGTTGGATGTTGGGAGGCTCTGCGTCCAAGACTAGCATCACAACGGGAGTAAGGGACTGCGCGACAATGCTTTCTCTGCACGCAAAACGCACACGGCATTCATCCCAGCGCACGGGGGTTGTTTAGCCGGACGCTCGGCGCCAATCATCTCTGCAGCCCGAGGCGTTCGATGCCGACGCCGGTGTGCTGGGAGGACGCAGCCATACTCCCCACGCTCCCTTTGTCCCTCCGTCCCACATTGGCTCCTACTCCGTCCTCTCTAGCACCTGCTGCCACGGTCCAGGCTCCGAAAATAGCCCGGCACGCTACCAGAAAGGGGCCAAAGGCCAGAGCGCAGCATGCGAAGAGCTACCAAAGTTCACATTATTCATTATAGCGGCCATGCTGGTATTAAAGCGGGGCTGAGACGGACGGGGGAGATAAAGACGGAGGTTGGGATAGAGGACTCCAGAGGCCAGTTCCTTTAATAATTCACCTGTCATTCAGCTAACTAGCACCAAAAATCTTTTCAGCTCATTTTTGTAGCCGGTCTCGACAAAGAATTATCATCAATAGGATTTGCATGATATTTCCACCTCTTATGATGTTATGTTGTGAGTTTTTGATGCCATGAGAAGAATTCAACATGCCATATATATATATATATATATATATATATATATATATATATATATATATATATATATATATATATTAGTGTCTGTCCTCCATTTCTTTAGCAGCAAAATGGAGAATCAATTTGGTATTTATTTTAATTTTTCTCCATCATCATGGCCTAACATTGGCTGACCATCATTTACATTAAATCGTATAGATGTAAACGTATAGAAATACACCCGTCTTCAATGTCCAGCTTGCGTCACTCCATTTATCTGTGGAAACAAGAACTCTTCTCTGCTCGACGGACCTCAAGTTAAAACAAAACTCCACATTCAAAGGCAAACTTTCTTCGACACACGCGGCCGTCACGTTTTCTGTTAAAAGAAAGCGCTGATTAACTCCGCCGCGGTGGGCAGAGAACAGCGCGGCTCAGTGAGGCGTGGAGAGGAAACGCCCCCCCCCCCAGCCTGAACGGCTGCACGCGCACAAATCAACATGCGACACCGCGCTCCCACTTGAGTGTCACATGCGGTTTGGTGACATCTCACTCTGCTCCAAGCTGCAGGATGGGACGAGGGGGGAGGGGGGGGGTCTTCATTCACTGCCACACAATAATAACACCTCCAGAACTGGCTAATTCAGCCAGCCCCAGCAGGGGGCCGCGGTCACACAGCGGGGGGGGGGGGGGGGGGTCTTTAACTTACTCCACTGACATCTCTGTAATAAACGCACACACGAGCTGGTTTGTGTAAAGATGTCAGCGCATGTTAATTATCCATCAACGTGTATGTGAAGTATGCGCGTTGAGGAGGCATGCGTGCAGCTAGGGGGCCCCCGTTAGCATAGCAGCTAAGGGGCCCCCGGTTAGCATGGCATGCCGGCGCGCGAGTCATTACCCGCGGCCTCGCCGTCTCGGTGTTGCTTGGCGGGGGGCTCGTCCGTGTCCCAGGGCGTGAGCTGGTTGATGGGCGTCTGTCCCCACCTCACCCCCGGAGCCAGCAGCAGTCCCGGGGTCTGTCCGTCTCCGGGAGAAAGACCGGAGGCCTGCAGCAGAGAGACGAAAGGACGCGGCCGGTTAGAGCAACAAGAGAAGTGTGAGGGTTCAAACCGACGCACCAAAGGTTTGCAAATAGCTTCGCCTCAGATGAAATATTTCATCCTTTTGTAGTTTGAGTGACAACAAGTCGCAAACGTTGCCGTGCGCGTTGATGACGCAGCGCGGCGCACAGTTAGTGCCGGTTACAGACTCTATGCAATTAGATCAAGTGTATACAAATCTTGTTCGTGGCCTCAAGAGACTCCAGAGAGAAGGACCAGCGTTTCCTTTATGTGCTAACAACAATTAACTTCCTAGTGTGGGCTACATTCAAATTCCAATCCGGCCTCCGGAGACTTTTTATAGCTTAATTTTGATTTTATGAATTAAACATTGTGTTCAGTCAAGTGAGATAATAGAATTCCGAACAGAAATACAACAAATAGAGTAAACAGGGAGGATCTCGTTTGCTGGGACGAGAGTGAAGGAAAAATGTAATTTCAACAGGAGAAGATGAAAAGCCAGGCGGCGACGCGCGGCACGCCGGTAAACCCCGACGCGACTCGGCCAAAGCGAGCGAAGAGTCCTCTAAGCCGTTCTCTGCACTCAAAGCTCTAATATTTTCTCTCTGGTAGGGGGCTAAGAAACGTTATCAGGCGAGCCCAGGCTGATGAAAACGCCGAGGGTCAATCACCACTGGACCCCTGAGCAATTTGGGCCTCTGCGCGTCTGCAGCCTGGACGCTCGCTCTAACGACCCGGCGGGGGGGGGGTTGAGTTAATAGAAAATACCTGGTCACCACAGCGCCCCCCCTACAAACCCCCCTGTGTCTGATCCCTCCATCCCTCGATTCCATTATCCTCCCCGACCCGCCTTCCACTTTATCAAGCGCGCCATCCTGCCTCCCAACAGCTGAGTTGACAAAGCCCCACGGAGCAGAAAATAAATAAATGCGGCCCCCCCCAAAACAATCGGCTTTCGCGGCGCGTCGTCGTGCCGCTTTGCATCCGGGATCGATCCCGTTTGGGGGGGGAGAAACTCCCCGTCTCTAATTTGGGACGGATTTGTCGCGGCGTCCTTTTTGACACCTGGAGACGCGGAAGCGTCTGCTCGGTGACAAAGCGCCTCGCAAGGGTTCGACGAGTGTCACAGAGTTGATGAATTCATAGTGAAAGTTATCTGACAGTTTGCGAGCGCCGAGGGCAAGAAGGAGAAAAAAAAAAAGACAAACATCTCGAGGCAAGAGCAGAAAACAGGGTGATGGAGCGAGAGAAGGAAGTGGGGTTTGGGGGGAAACTGTCAGGGCTTTTTTTTTTGTTGTTTTTTTTTTGGTCCGGCCCGACCTGTCGACTTCAGACAAGAGAAAACTGAAATGGTTACTCAGAACGCCCCAAGCGTTCAATCCCGCCAGAGAGCCCTGGAGATTCAGACCATTTCCAAGGTGAGGAGTTGTCTACGGGCCACTATTTGTTTTAATGAGGGTTCTCTTTTTCTCGCTCTGTGGGCTTTACTGCATTCCTCCCCAGCCGGGCTTCACCTTCCCCGACACACCGGCAGCTCCTCATTAACTCGCCGCATTGACTCTCAACCCCCCCCCCCCTCGTACCTGCGTCATAACATTCTCTCATTTATACACCCACCCGTTTATCTCAAGAAACATCCTTCTGTTGAAAAGCCATTCATCTGTCACACTTTTAAGGGCAATGAGAAATGAATGAGAGGCGTGGTGGGGGAGGGTGGGGGGGTGGGAAGCTTCTTAGTCAGCACCATCACATTGACAGCATATCAGCTCGGCTCAGGAACGATCCTGACGTGAAAATGATCAAGGTTAGATGGGGAAATACGCACAGACACATTGGGATTGGAAGTGCAAAAGGCACACACACACAGCAGGGGCATGCACGCACAAATACACACACACAGCAGGGGCATGCACACACACACCCACAGCAGGGGCATGCACGCACACGCACACACACACACAGCAGGGGCATGCACGCACAAACACACACACACACACACAGCAGGGGCATGCACGCACAAACACACACACACAGCAGGGGCATGCACGCACAAACACACACACAGCAGGGGCATGCATGCACACACACACACACACAGCATGGACATGCACGCACACACACACGGCAGGGGCATGCACGCACACACACACACACACAGCATGGGCATGCACGCACAAACACACACACAGCATGGGCATGCACGCACAAACACACACACACACACACACAGCAAGGGCATGCACGCACACACACACAGCAAGGGCATGCACGCACACACACACACCATCCAGGATGTGTATTAAGATGGCAGACTGGCTGCAGGTAGGCAGGGAGGCACCAGAGGTTCTGGGAAAGCGCCTGTCATTTCCTCTCAGCGGTACTCGCTCTCCATATTTCCAGTGCCCCCCCCTGCCTCGCCCCCCCCCCTCCGGTGGCCGCCCATTAATTTCGGGGAGCAAATGGATTCATCTGACTCGATAAAAACCTTCCCTGCCGAAGAGGAAGGGAACCACATAAATCATTTCTTAAATGTGCCAAGACCTTCTGTGTTTGTGGTCAAGTTGAATGGGGATAAAACTGATCTACGTGCGGCACACGGACCAATGCGCAACGGCACACAGGATTCACACCAATCAATCCCCGAACCCGCACACTGATATAGCGATGAATCGGCACACCGGAGCAGACTTCTAGGTCCACCCGCCGTGTTCACGGTCAACGACGTTCTGTTTTAGTCTTTCAAATGATGTCACTCAACGGAACGTCCCATGGCGTACGAGCCGCTTTGAAGCGTGTGAGAGAAAAGAAACGGTGGAGCCAAAGAAGCTTTTGGCTCCATCGTGCAGCACGGACAAAGGAAGGAAGATGCAATGGAGACGCGCGGGTTCCCGAGCGCCTACTCGTCCCGTGCCTCCCGCCGCCAGGCCACCATCTGGGCGGGGCCTCCTTCAGATCCCCGCCGCTCCGGGCTTTGATTGTTTTGCGGCATCCACAACGCCCACGTCCAAATAAACAGAAGACGTTTGCTTAGGGCTTTGTGTTTGCCCTTGCTTTCTGTTCGAGGTCTCCCCCCGGCCCCCCCGGCCCCCCCGGCCTGGGTGTCTTATTGCACCAGTTCATTCCCACGATGACGCTGGGTACGAAAAAACTACAGCCACCGACTTTCTGCATAAGCGGCAGCTCTCTGTAGCCCTTTGTTAGCATCGCCTCGACGTAGAGAGCTCCCATCCCCAGAGAAATTACTTTATTGCTCGACCCGAGCAGGAAAGAAAGCGAGAGAGAGAGGGGGGTGAGGTGGGGGGGTGATGGAGGGGTGGAGTATGTCTATAACAGCCTGGTCCCACCGGGGTAAATTAATTTCATAAGACACTGAGAAAATCACCTAACTGCAATGAGATTTAAGGAGAGGTGTAGGGAGCGCAGAGCAGGTTCACACCATATAACACGAGAGGAGCGGTGAGGGAGAGGGGGGGGGGGGGATGGTGGGAGGGGGGTGGGGGGGGGCAGGTATGTTAGGAACTCCACAGTGGAAAGCTAATCTCACCAAATGTCATCAGCGCAACCGGACACAGTGAGACGGATGCAGGCCGATTACGTTCTACCCTTTAAGGTCCTCGGGACGCGTTGGGGGGGGGCACTTTAATCACAGGAGGCGCTGTGATGAAGCCCGTTAATAAGTTGTTTTCACCAGAAGTTTCTCAGTTAATCTCTTCCGAGCGAATTCCTGGAGCTTTTCATTATGGTTTCATTTAAATGCAACAGAGAGTGCACACCTCCTCAGCTAGTGTGCCAGCTATGGGGGGACGGGGGGGGGGGGGGACCGGGTGCATGTACACAAATGTAATTGTCATGGAAAATTTCAATAACGTCTGTGCGGCGTCCTGCTACATCGTGTGTAATCGCAAAATAATATCACACTGTAATCCGGCGGCGTGAACAAATCGCGAGAAAAAACGGTGCCGGAGAGGAAATGAAATTCTACTCAGACGCGACGGCGTTTTCTCCCCCCGCCGGCCGGCCGGCCGGACACGGACGGACGCGGCGAATTTGGCTGAAACGTGGAGGGTGATGGAAATAATGGCTTTCCTCCGAGAAGAGAGAGGAAGGAAAATGTCAGCGAGGGAGTGAAAGATTGAGAGGCGGAGGAAGACAAACCGATCCATCACCGAGACCCGTTTCATCGCTTCTGACGGATCGCTTTCAGTTTTTCTAAAAATGGAGGAGGAAAAAAAAAGAAAAAAGAATGATCTTTTCCCTCCTCCCGCCGCCCCGTCCAAAAGGCGCCGACCGAAGGAGCGGTCAGAAACTGACCAGCGGCGCTCATTGTCTTCATCATCATCATTCACTTACTGGACAGAGGTACCGGCTCCCCATGACAACGCGCTGACACCAAAGTGTGAAGCGGATTTGTTCTGGGCTTCCGTCATAATGGCGCCGAACGCCGGAGCCAGAGTCCTGTGTCCAATCCATTAGACCCGGAACCACTGCGCGCCGTCTCGTGAGGGGGGTAAACAAAAGAGACGCTGCCGCGCCATTTTGGCAGCCATGTTCAAAAAAAACAGCGCAGAGCCCGAGGCGGGGAAGGTGGGTACGGTAATATTTATCTTTACTCCTACGGATCCATTGTGTGCCATTTACCGATGAGACAGGCGCTGTCCAAGGCGTGAAATGTCAAGTTTCCTGAGCATTAAAAAGTAAATATTGTGTGGTATTTAAAGGCCGTCCGGTGGACCGGAGGGGCTCCCGTCAGCGGAGAAATGCGTCGATTTGTACAAATCTGGGGCAGAGCTTCTATCAGTTGTGTCCCTGCTGAACCAGCCTGGTGACTCATTCAAATGATTCTCCTCGGAAAAGGATTTTTGGGCCAATACTTGCATAACATCACCAGCCTCGTCCCTACAAACCGGGCCGCCGTTTCACGCAGTCAGACCAAAGAAAGACGGCATCGAGTCGAGGAGAGCGTTCGCTGCCAAAGACGAGAGGAT